TCGTGCGGGGCTCTTTTAAAGGCAAAGCTTGTGATCAGAAGGCAGCCTATTAGAATCAGTGCAAAGGTGGTCAGTAGTGTTGGGATTAAAAGAAATGGGAAACAGCCCAGAACTCGAGAAATGGAGCTCCCTGTTGCTCGTTGATTTACGCATTGATGGGACTCTTATCGCTGGTGCCCTCCTTTACGCCAACGCTCTTCTCTGCTAAGCGGCGACGATGTCAGCCTGCGTCGATAGCGCCGCGGGGACGGCCATAATACATCGCCGAGACATATTCTTTGATGAGAATCGCATGTCGGTCCGCACCTCTAGAGGGTCCGCCTGTCTTTTTATTAGGTAAGCTCAACTTTCTTCGACCTTTGACCTTATTATAGACTCCTCCTTCAAGTTGAGATTCTCGCTCGACGTGGAGAGAGCAGCCGACCTAATTTGCAGAAGAATAAGCAGTGACCTCTTGTTAACAAGTGAGGCATGCGTTGAGAAAATTCTCAGCCACTGCTTATTTCATGTTCATCTTCTCTAATTACCTCTCTATCATTTCATCGCAATGGTTTAGAATCCTTGATTTCCGCTCACATGCTACGCAACCTGCCGTTTCGTACCCTTTTGAAAACTCATTCGGCAAGCTTTCGTTATAGAATCACCATTATTGTTGATACAGATTCCTTCTCAATTGATGACTGTTGTATTATGACAGAATTCCTTTTTGCAATCACTTAGTCATTTTCCCTCGAACTCTGTTGTTTCCATATCAAATGTTGACCATGGTGACAAAAGGCATGACATTTATTAGGGAGAAATTAATGTTTCATTAGCTGCCGCCCAATTTCTCATATTTCCGTGCGATCATTCGATAATGGTTCAGCGTATAATTATGTGGTAAACTTATTGCGATGGCTCCAAAAGATGAAGCCTTGCTGAAGTTATAATTCTTTGGCGACAATGGCCACCAGTAGGTGCCACGTCGCGTGGGACAATGGCACCCACTGGTAGGTGCCAACCCTACTAACCTTTCTTCTCCACGTTGATTGAAAACATTTTTAACATCCCTGTCTTTATCGGAAAGCTTTATAATATCTATGTTTAGCAAGGCTCACAGATGTTTTCAATAAGAGGTAACTTATCGAAAATTTTAGAATGTGGTGTTTAGCTTACCAGCGTGTTAAGTGGGGGTTTCCATGATCAGGTTGAACACAATTTACAGATCAATTCTTCGTCTCTCAGTGGTCTTCAGACACAGGGAGAAGTTCAGCGCATCATTCGACTCCACACATAAACTTCAAGAGTTTTTACCTTCCATCCCTTTAAAATCCGATCTTCCTCCCCCAAACTTCAATTTTTGCCAAGCAATGCACAGGGTCTCCCAAAATTACTTGCGCCAAATTTCAAAAATTCATCAGGAAAAGGTATATCGATTATTTTCATTTCGCGCGCTACTAATTAGTTGTGCAGGTAGGTTCTCTTGTGAACTGCATCGTTATTGGGGTAAAACTGCCAGTATCTCTGAGATGGCGAGAGGTGATCCAAGGTGACCTGCGATCATTCGCGTGCGCGAGGAAGAGGCTGCATCGTGAGGACATAATAAATTTCTTGATGTTCCCAGAACACAGTAAAGGTGGTCAACAATGATGCAGAAGAATCTGAACACTCATTCATAAGCCTGGACAAGGAAGAATGGTCAGCGTCTTCACGGATAGAATCATCGAAATGTTTGGTTAGCAATCCACGGTGCTCCATCAGAAGGATTGCTGAATATTATCGAAGTCATCGATGGGGCGCATCATTAAGGAGAAGCAGCACTACAAACTCTATCACATGCAGAAGTGCCGCTTCATTCTGTTCAGCAACAAACAGCAGAGAGGCCAAAAGTTGGAAGGTTACTAGCGCGCTTCACTGGCGATACGCAACTCTCGATCGTTTTTTCTGACGAGAAAATATTCGCTGTGGAGCCGGTGTTGAATCGCCAAAGCGATCACATTCTAGTCAGAAATATCGGGAGTGTCATCTCACGAGGGAAGATTGTTGAAGAACGGCTAACTCGGCATCAGTAATGAATTGGGTGTGAGTCGCGGCCAATGGTGAGATGCCGTTGAATTTTGCCGATTCATGTGTGAAGATCAGCAAGGACGCGCGTATTAGTGAACGTATTGAAACCTTGATCCAACCCCCACTTTGGGAACAAGCCGTGGTGTTGCTAGCAGGACAGTGCTACAGCCTATGGGGCCAAGCTCGTTCGAGGCAGGTGCGAGCTGCGAACTGCCCGACTTCGTCGCCGCGAGGAATGGCCTTCTTGCTCCCCTAATCACTTGAACTCTCAGTCTGGTCCGTGATTAAGAGCAAGGCATGTCGAGCTCGTCGTATGAATCTGCAACCATTGCAAGCAGCATCAAAGGAAGCCTGGGAAGAATTGGATAAGGAACACCTGCGTGCAACGTGCGAATGGTGCAAGAAGAGACTCCGGGCCTGAATTCGTGCAGGTGGAGGACATTTTGAAATCTGGTTGTTGCATGTTGTAGTGTATGATGTTAGTATAATTATGTTTATATTCAATTACCATTCTGTGTCCAACAGTTCAAAAGACATTGCAATAAATAGGCGCAAGTAATTTTGGGACACCCTGTATAAATAGAAG